TTTTTTATTTATTTATTTGTTGCTCGTCTGAGCTGGTTGGATTTTTGCACATCTGAATATGAATGTCTTAATTAACCATGTAGGAACAGCCATCCATCCAACCAACCAACAATTGATCCATCACCACCTCCCTTCATTCTCTCTCTCTCTCTCTCTCTCTCTCTCTCTCTCCCTCTCCCTTATCTGCCTATATTTATTTTTTCCTTTTTTTCCCATCTACTCATCCAGAAATAGATTTATAGACTGAATATGCCAAATATATATGATACACTTATGTACACTATAGGCATTGTGTAGATGTAAACTACATAATTATCCACAGTACACTGTAGTACACTGTAGTACACCGTAGTACACTGCAGTACGCTGTTTGTGGACAGGGGGTTGCGGCGACAGGAAGAAATATAAACACTCGCCTGTGTCCCCAAAAGGGACCTATTACAGTACGTGTGTGTGTGTATCTTTGGTTAGGAGAGTGCTCAGTGAGGCATGGTTGCCTCGCTGAAAAATGTACTCTGACTCGCCGACATGTGTAGGAGTAAATATTTGTCTTTGGTGGACAAACACACATCAGTCAGATTTGCTGTAGATTATTTACTGTATGTCGGAGGAATTCTCTTCTCAGTTTTTTCCTTCTTTGTTCCTTTTTCTGCCTCCGTGTTAATATTATCACAGGCTAATTGTAAATATTCCTGTCTGAGCAGCTCAGCCTGCGGCTCTGCTCCCGTTCCCAGAACCCTGAAGTGCAGGCGTGATATCTGGGCTGATGACTGAGTCAAGACACTGAACAGCATCCAGAAAAGCACTTCACCAAACCTGGACGCTGAGACTGAAAATGTCAAGCAACTAAGTAGTTGTGACAAATTTGTGATTTTTTTTTTTTCCTTGAGTTTTTTTTTTTTTTTTCTCAATGGCATCTAAACATGAACGGTTGAATATTCTGGTTAGTAATTTTAATTGAATTAATTTCAGAGGACATTGTAAGGGCTTGATGGCGTCGTAAAACACTTGTTATGGCTGCTGTTCATCACAGTGATGTAAATTACGCCCAGTGATTGCTCAATGATGCTTTTCTTCAGGGACATGACGTTGTTAAAAAAATGGTAATTGGTTCCAAAGGGCAGGCGACGTGTTGAGGGAGGAACAAAAGAGGGTTAGCTTCTCTAGCTCTTTTTTTTTTTTTTTTACCACGTTGATATTCTAATAGCGTGGTAGGTTCAGCATCTCTGTCTACTGGTCAGATAATGAGTGAAATTTTAAAAATACATTTTTTGTTGTTTTGTTTTGTCAACACTCGGTAGACAGCACGGTAGAATTCAGCGGAGAAGTAGAGAATTAAAAAAAAATCCATTTCATTTGGATGTGACCGCACGGTAGAATTCAGCGAAGTAGAGAATTAAAAAAAAAATCCATTTCATTTGGATGTGTTCTAAATAGTTAGCGTTATCGACACGAATGCATTAGCCATGGTAATTAATCTGATTCAAATGTGTACGTTGCACACCGTATATCCTATAAGTCCATCGTGATACACATGTTGTAATTTAGACACACTGTGGGGAGAAGTATTTGTTTCACAGAAGCACCGCTTGCTTAAAATACCGTTTTTTTTTTAAGGCTTTAACTTCTAGTCAATTAATCATGATTAATCCACATTCACCCTGTGATTAATCAGGTTGAACTTTAATCAGCTGACAACTCCTGATCCTACTGTGAAAGGTGGCGCTGTAGCCTCAGAAAAGCCAAGACATTTCTGAGGCTGCATAAATAATTTTTATTTATTTATTTTTTTCTTCGATGCATTTGCTGGTGTGTTTGTCTGCATGGTAACCTCTTCATCCTCCGCTCCCCTGACGGATGCACTCAGGGCCTGACTTGGGAGTTGATGTGGTCAGCTGGACAGATGAGGCAGGCGAGTCTGTGTGCAGCACGAATTGTGTCCCGGACATCATGGCTCAGCTCTCTGACAGCTGGTGCACTCTGACTCCGACTCTGTTTGTGTGTGCACGAGTTTCAGGTCAGCCCAACTGTCTCCGGAGAGAATAGCAGCTGCAGACAAATTTCAGGTCGTAACCTGAAACACTTTTTTAGTACAACTTTCTTTTTTTTTTTCCGGCCCCATTTTGATTCTTTTTATGGCGAGGCGGCGAGAATGTATGGTGTTATTGTTACGAGGCCCCGGCAACACATCCTATTATATCAATTAAATCGTCTTCATTGACTGGACGATCAACCGGGGAGACATTATGCGTCCGCTGTTTGTTGTTTGTGCGTGTACACAATGATCCAGCAATGGGCTCAGATGTGTTTAACAATTAATGGCAGCAGGAGCCAATCACATTCGGCGGATTACAACGCTAGGGTCTTCTAATGCGACTGTACGTCTGTTTGATTTGTGCACTGACCCGCGAGAAGTCTGTTAAGACGCCGATCCTCTTTGTGTGTGTGTGTGCGGGTGCATGTATGTGTGTATGAGTGTGTTAGCATTGACTTTGAAGTACATTGTGTCATGACAATAATCTGAGCCAATTTACTGCACATCAGCCCTCCATTATGGGTTTGATATAAAGCAGAACGTGACTGGAATGTCGGCCCCATTAAAAGTCACTTTATTTCTCGAAAGAAATTACGGTTTTAACCTCATTAACCCAACGCGCATGCTAAAATGGAAGATGAACCC